TCCGTTGTCTTAGCTATATGATATCCGTGATTGTAGCTGCTAAAGCACGGTATTCTGCCTCAGTTGACGACCGAGCTACAGTATGTTGTTTCTTTACACTCCATGCTATGATAGTTTGCCAAGGAATGTGCAATAACCAGATGTAGACCTTCTTGTTGTCGTATCACTTGCCTAATCAGCATTTGAAAATGACGTCAATGTAATTGGAGCTTTTGAAATTGGAATATCATAATGCACTGTTCCTTTTATGTAGCGTAGCAATCTTTTTAACAGATAAAAATGAAGTGGTTTTGGATCATGCATATATTGGCATAAAAGATTTACATGATAAACAATATCAGGTCTCGTTAATGTGTGATACTGAAGCGATCCAGTGACTTGCCGATAATGTTGAGGAGTTCTGATTACTGAATCTTGCGGGATAACAGTTGGTATTTTTGTGCAGGAAGGATTTGCTAGAGGTTTGCATAGAAGCATTTCGGCTGCAGTAAGTATGGATATAGCATATTGCTGTTGTGATAAAAACATATATTCTTTGTGATCTTGTATTGATATGACAAGGAAATTATTTATTGTACCCATATGTTTTATTGCAAATAGAGTGCTTAGTTGCCGGATGATTTCAGAGACCTTTTTGCTATTATTTCCAGTCAACAAAATATCATCTACATATATAACAAGATATACTTGATCATCCTCTTTTGCAAATATGAATAGTGATGGATCAGCCTTACTTTGATGAAATCCCAGTTGTTGAAGTGCTGTTAATAGTGTATTAAACCATAGTCGAGGAGACTGCTTGAGCTCATATATTGGTTTTTTTTAGTAAACACACATGATTTGGGAACTGAGCATCTTCAAAACCAGTTGTTTGACACATGTAGATGGTGTCATTTAAGGTTCCATGAAGAAATGCATTAGATACATCCAATTGTTGTATTTTCCACTGCTTGTTGAGAACAATTGTTAGCAATGTGCGAATAGTAGGGAACTTTGCAACTAGACAACAAGTTTCAAAGTAATTTATGTCATATTCTTGCTTATGCCCTTGAGCTACCAACCTTGCTTTATATCTAGCAACAAATCCATTTGAATGTAATTTAGTACGATACATCCATTTACTTCCAAATATAGATGCTTTCGGTGGTGGTTGCACTAATGTCCATGTTCCTTGTTACTGGAGTGCCAAAAACTCTGTTGCCATAGCTTGTCTCCAATGAGACATTTTTGAAGCTTTGGTATAACATGTGGGGTCTGGTGGAGGAAAAACTTTTAAAGAGTGTTGATGCATTAGGTTAAGTATGGTGCGAGGTTTAAGGGATCCGATTTTTAATCTTGGTACCATGGGATGAATTGACTCAGAATTTCTGGCATCTGGTATTGGTGACGAAGAGATTGAATTATGTGGGATGTTTATTGGAGTTGATGTCCTGTTTTGAGAATGAGAAGATTGTTGAAGAGGATAAGATGTTTGGTTTTGGTTTGTTGTGATTATGGTGTTCATATGAGAGCAGGTGGATGTAGGAATGAGCAAAGATGGGCTTGTAGTAGTGAAATGATTTGTTCGAGTTGTATGTGAGTTGTGAGCAAATGGAAACATATTCTCGTCAAATATTACATGTCTAGATGTGATTATTCAATTATTAGATGTATTTAGACATCTGTAACCTTTGTGTGCTGAGGAATAACCTATAAAAACACACAGAGTGGACCTAGGCTCAAGCTTATGTCTTTGTTTTGATGGAATCCATGGGAAACACCTACATTCAAACTTTCAAAGACTAGAATAATTTGGTTGCTGGTTATATAACAGTTGTATAGGAGTTTTATTGTTAGTGGTATGGGACGAAAGACAATTAATATGATATGATGTTGTTAGCAAAGCATCAGGCCAATAGGAAAATGGCATGGATGACATGTGTAGAAGTGTTCTGGTTATCTCGATTAAGTGCAGATATTTTCTTTTGGCTAAACCATTCTATTCAGGCGTGTAAGGACATGAGCCTTGATGAACAATTCCATGTTGGTTCAGATATGATTGAAACACTTTGTTTATGTACTCCGATCCTCCATCAGATCAAAGTTTCTTAATATTATGAGAAATCTATTTTTCCACCATGGTTTTGAATGTGATGAATATAGAAACAACTTCAGATTTATGTTTCATAGGAAACAACCAAACAAAGCATGAAAAATCATCAATGAAAATAACATAGTATTGATAGCCTTGGTTTGATGTTATGGGAGAAGGTCCCCACACATCGGTATGAACAAGTTCAAGAGGAACAACAGTATGAGACATGGATTTCAAAAATTTTAGCTTGTGACTTTTTGACACTCTACATGAAGAACAAACAAAAGGTAACGTGATGATGTTAAGCTATTTATTACTGTTGGAGATACGAGTAAGAGTCTGCGGATGTGGATGTCCCAGGCGATTATGCCATAAAGACTTTGTGTTGCACGATGTATGAAGAGCAAGTGAGCTTCGACTTGATGAAGAAGAAGATGGACTTAATCTTGATGTGGTTTTTCAGAATGGGATAGAGCCCGTTAGAACAAGGCCCCTTTAGTATAATCTGTTGATTCTGCATATCCTTGATAACAAATCCAGATGCATCAAAAGAAAGAATGAGATTGTTATCCTTTGTTAGGTTTGAAATAGACAGCAAATTATGAGTGATGCTAAGAATGTGGAATGATTGATTCAAGTGAAGCTTACGTGTAGGTTTAGGTAGTATTCCATTTCCATTATGAGCTATGGACACAGAACTTTCATTTTCCACTTGAACATTATCAGATCCTTGATAGCCAGTGGGGTTGTTAATCCTGTTAAGATCATTGGTGAGATGAGATGATGCTCCTGAATCCAGATACCAGTCTGAATTGTTTTCTTCTGTAGTTGCTACTAGTGCTCTGGATGTATTACCATTAGCAGGTGGAACATAGTTAATATTCATTATGTGCCAGCAAACATTTGCTAGATGTCCCCTTTTGTTGCATGTTTGACATATAGGAAGTGGTGACTGAGCTGGTTGCTGAGATCGCTGTTGTTGATTATTGTTCATGTTTAATCTACCTCTTCCTCTTCGTCCTCGTCCTCTGTGTGTATATAACGCAACATTTGGATCAGGCACGGTTGTATTCCGAGTGAATTCCGCTTGAAGTTGATTTCCTCATTGATTAATAGTGAATATAAGTCTTCTAGACTTATAGGATTGAGCATAGTCCTGATTGACGTCTTGAAAGCATTATATGTCGGTGGCAAGCCATTCAGTGTATACATGATTATGTCTTCTACATCTATTTTTGATCCTGCTGCAAAAATTTTGTCCACAATATTCTTGATTTCTGTTAGATATTGCACCATGGTAAGATTCTTTATCGCTATGTTATGTAATTCATTTTTCAATTGAATTACACTCGATTTGTTCGTCGCTTGTAATAGTCGTTCGATCGTCAACCAGATCGCCGAACATGATTCTAAGTGTAGTACATATTGTAGTATAGATAGTGCAATTGTAGAACACATCGCTGCCGCCAGATTCTGGTCTATAAGTAACCATTCGTTGTACCTGGGGTTTTCCGATGTAGTTCCATCAGATGTCTGTATCGTTCGAGAAGGTGGTTCTGCACCATCTTCAAGAAATCGAGCAAATCCATTCGCCCTTAGTAACTTCAGTACTTGAGATCTCCATATAGCGTAGTTATCGCTATATAGCTGAGTCGGAACTATCGTCTTGATGTTAGAGATCAAAAACTTTTGAGAAGCTGGAACAGAGCATCCTTCGTAACTTCTTCCTGGGTCGAGTCTCTAACTTGCGAGGAAGATGATTGCGCCATTGTTCTTCTTGCAGGTTTCTTGAACCCGCTCTGATACCATAAAGAAATTCAAATCAAGAAGTGGGAAAATGTTTGTAAGAGCTGTGAAATTTCGTCTCTCTATTTCTCTCACAGAGATTCATTTCAGTCAATCACAATCTACAACTCATACATGTATTTATACTAATCAGTAGGTGCGTGCTAGTACACATGTCTAGCTCTGATTGGATGAGTCAGTTATAGTATGTATATGTCATTCTACTTATGTTACTTGAGTTGCTTTTAAAAACTGCTTGAGAAAGCATTAAAAAAGCTGCCCCAAACGAACCTGAATTAGAGATTTACTAGCTAAATAGGCATTTGAACAGAATCATGCTAGCTAAACTGAACCGTTCACTAATTTTATGAGTTAAATGAAATTTGTGCACATTTGAAGGAGGTAAACAGAAGTATAAAAAGGCTTTGATCGATCGAATTGGCTTATGATCAATCAAATTCAGATCAAAATGTTGGATGCACATCCTGCTCTTCAGCATCATTCGTTGGCATCTCCATTACAATGGGCCACTGATTTGTTGGAATATTTTAAATTTTAATTTTCTTTTCTCATTGATGTCAAAATTTTGAGTTCTAACGTTCGAGAATTCTATTGGAAATTGCAATGGTTGATTTCGAACTTCAAAGAAACCTCAACATTCTTAAGATTAAGGTTTCATTTGAGATGGCTTTCTACAAAATCTTTAGGCTTCCAACTAGTGGTGATATAGAGTCAAGTTTGTGTTAGTCAAATTTAGCTAGAGTTTGACATATTTGACTTTAGCTCGAGAACTTCGAACCCCCTTTCAACTATGGCTTTGTTTTAAACAGTTTACTAAAACAAAATTTATTGCAAAAATCTATTTTAGAAAACGATAAAAAACTGTCCCAAACAAAACGTAAGTTAAGATGCCGAGTAATTTTTGCCTACTATTAATAGTTGAATTACATGCATATTCTTTTTCAAGTCGGCTCAAATCATTTGGTGAGCGACCAGCCCAACGCCAGAAATTAGACTGAGTTTATACTTCAACTCATAACTTAATTTCGAATATTTTGAATTGGCCTAAAATTTGAGCGAGAATAAAATTCTGAGCAAAATTTATTAAAAGTCACACTTTCCAGGATTATCAGCATGTACAATGCAAACAATCAAAATTTAAGTACAAGCATAGTATGAAATTTTCTCAGAAAACTCAGAATAACAACATAGAAGAAACAGGACAAACCCAAGATTTAAGATTAAATTTGCAGGTTTCAGTCATGGACAAATAGCAAACAATCCTTATCCCTGACTTCCATGATCAACATAACAATCTAGACAGTAGATCTGCTCCATATGAAAAGTTTAGTTAGGTTTCATTTGGAATGGCTAATACTGATTCTTAAAGCAGCTTTTTAGTTAAAAAATTTTAATTTTTTACTAAAAAGTTGCTTTAGGAAGCATAAAAAAAGCTGTCCCAAACGAAGCCTTAGACGCAAAATAAAGACCAAAACTTGCAAGAATCACTTTTAATGCTCAAGTTTAAATCCATTCCCATGAGCCCATGATGTTCACTGATTTGGAGAGAAGACCAAAGAACAAATTTTATTTCAAACCAAAGCAAGCAGGCAAGTTTTGCATTTGGAAGAAATAAGTACACATGCTTCTGATATTCTCAGAGCTCTTTGATAGGATACTTCAAAGCTAAATGAATGGCTGGGATGGAAAATGGTGCAATCACCACGAAAATTGAAGAGAACTGTACCTGAGAAAAGAGTCTTGAGGGGCCAAAACGACATTTAACCGGCTTACTTCCAAATTTGCTATTGTAATTGATTCCATGGCACATTAGTTCTATGAGTTTTCTCCAAGTAAGCAAGATTTCAATGATACCAGTTCTGAGCCAATTCAAAATTCGAACAAGAAAGAGCCAGGTTTTGGGTTTCCAAAGCTTTTCCACATTCCCTAACAACTCTAGCTCACGAAATTTTTCAAAACTGAAAATTGACAACCTGATCTGCTAACTGGATCCAAGCATGGCGTTTTAACAGTTGCAGTGTAGTTAACTGCTTTAGCATTTTAAAAGAAGCCAACAAATACTCAAATCTCCATCAAGAAAACCCATGGGAGAACTGATGGTGCAACCATATTGATGCTTTCATGGCATTCAAAACCTGAAAGTAAATCAAATTGCCCCAAGATCTCCAGTGCGCACTTTCCCTGGCTTCCTCATTAAGGCCTGTAAGTGAAGAAATAAATGGGCTTGACTAAGGACATATAGATACACTTTGATTTATGTGATTTCACCCTTCAGGCCATGATTGCCAGCGATGTGCATGGAAATCCTCTCTGAAAGATCTGAAACAAGAGAGTATCTATTATTCTCATAGCATCCACTCAGAAATGCAGTGTATGTTATGTGATCCACACTGCAATCAACATCTAACAGCTTGTTAAGAAATAAGAGGGCTGCATCAACATTCCCAACAGAACTGAGCTTTCTAATCAAGATATTTGTTGCTTGCACCCAATGCTTTTTCTCAAGTCTTTCTAACACCAACATAGCAATCTCATTTTTTTCTCTTTTACAAAATTCATACGCTAGAGTTATCCCTGTAACTTCACATGGAACTAAACCCTTGTCCAACATTGACTCATATAATGCTCTTGCCTCCTCTAATCTAGAATCTTTGCAAAGCCCGCTTATTAGAGCACCATAGGTAACGGAATCCGGCATACATGCTTCCTGAATCATCTTTTCAAAGATCCTCAATGCAGATTGTGTCTTTCCATCCCTACAATACCCAGAAATCATGGATGTGTAAGTTTGCTTGGTCGGTTTAAGTCCAAGCTTGAGGCAATCACTTAACAACTTCTCACCATCTTCCATTCTTTTTTGTCTGCAACAACCAGCGATCACAACGGTGTAGGTTTTGATATCAGCCTGGTAACCATTTCCAACCATCCAATCAAACAACTCTAGAGCCTGAGCTATCCTGCCTCTTCTAAAGTGCTCATTGATGAGAATTGTGTATGTAACTTTATCAAGCTTCAGTCCTTGTAGTAGACATTCTTGAAGTAGCTTATGTGCCTCGTTGGCCCTCCCTTTCTTAAACATGCCATCAACCATTGAATTATATGTATGAATAGTGGGAATGCAATCCACACCCTTCATTTCATCCAATAATTCAAAAGCCCGATCAATATCTCCTTGTTTGCAATTCCCATCAATCAGAGCAGTAAATGTGTTAGTGTTTGGCAGCAAATCCTGCTCTCTCATTTTTGATAATAACATTGCTGCTCGATTAAGCTTCCCTTCTCTACAATAACCACTGATCATTGCAGTGTAAGTATAGACATTAGGTTTATATAAATTGCTCCTAATAAGCTTCATAAACAGCCTAAAAGCCCTCTCTGTCCATCCAATCTTGCACAACCCATCAATCAGTATAGTATGTGTATAAACATTCGGCTTCATCCTCTTCCCAACTATTTCCTCCAAAACCTGAAAGGCTTGCTTCACACTGCCTCTTTTGCAAAGCCCGTTGATCAAAGCAGTGTAGTTGATCACATTGGGAGGAACATCCATTTCATACATCCTTTCAAAGATCCAAAACACCTTTTTGAATAAACCTTTCTTGCAAAATGCATCCACAATCAACGTACATGTCACATTGTCCATTCGGAATCCTCTTGCCTCCATTGCTTTGAACAATTTCTCGACATCTCCAACAAGTCCCTCCCTGCAACAAGCAATGATCATGGTCTTAAATGTATGCATGTCAGGAGAAAGCTGGTTCACAGACATTTCACCAAATACTTGTTGTGCAAGTCCTACCAAGCCCGAATCAGCTGCTATTCTCAGAATCCGATTCATGGTGTGGATGCTCAGGGGCAAGCCTCCATTTTGCATCTCAAAGACCATGTTGGATGCCTCCTTCAACCTTCCAACTTCAGCGAAGCATTCGATCATGCACCTCATGACCTCCTGAGCCTTTTCAAAGTTCCCTCTCGCAACCAAAGATCCGGCCGTTGCTATATAAAACCTCATCGAGTGCCTGAACTGCGCTCGGACAATAGCCCAGTGGAAGAAACTGAGCGCAGCAATGGAACCCTCTCGATCAGCGAGAAGAGCGACGACGGCGACTGCCTGCTCAATGCTGATATCGACGTGAAGAAAACGAAGGCTTTGATCTCCCTCATCGTAGGACTGACAGACCAAATTGAAGACTCTGCCTACGATTCCAGAGGGAGAATCCATGGTAGCGTTGCTAACTTCGTCAAGTAGAATCGGAATTGGTGTTTGCAAGAGAGAGGAAAAACGGGATTTTGCAATAGAAAAGATCCGATCTTGAAAGAAATGGCGGCAAAACAAGAAGTGAGGTTTGAGCTTGGGGAAGATGAGAAGATAGATGCGATGGCTGGTTGAGGCTTGGAGGAAGAGCATTGCTTCGAGGTGGGAAGGTTGCATGTGATGGTTTGCAAATTCTAGCAATTGACATTTGCTTAAAATCTGAAACTTTCTGTTACAGTAAACCGGCGTGCTAAAAAGTAACATCCAATAGGATATATGTTGACTTTGACATGAAATCTACGAAATCAAATCGACCAAACTATCAGTAGAAACCTAATTGACCCGAATCAAAATGTAATTCGATATTTTTTTTTTAAATAGGTATCTACCGGTTGTCAATTTAAAAGAAGTGCTTAGCGGTATAACTAATTCCTCGGCGAAATCTAGCGAGGCTATCCACCGACATCAGGTCTACACTTGCTTTGTCCCACTGAAGAAGGCAGGTCGTAGTAGAGGAGATTCGAACTCGGGATGGGAGGTTCCCAACCATGCTCACCCACCAACCACCCTAAACATCGGTGGATAAATGTAGTTTGATCTATTCTATTTGATTTTAAATAAATAAAATACATGGGTAAAAGAAATATTTAAATTTGGTTAGGTGATAAAAAACTTTGCAATAATTATTAAGATTTTTTAATTCAAATTTCAAATTTGTATTTGGGCAATAAAATTTGATTTTTTTTTCGATAATATATTAAATTAATATTTTGCAAAATCAAATGATTAATAAAAATATATTATATGCACATGATAAAATAATATAATTCATTTGATACATGAGAGAATAAAAAATATTATTATTTTCTTCTAATAATTTATAGATCATGACTTTGTTTATGATAATTTCCTTACTGCATTTTTCAAACAGAAACTATAATTTTTATTTGGCTTTTGACTATTTTTTTTATTTCAAAGAAAAATTATGAAGATATTTTCTACAACAACTTAAAAAATTTATTTTTCTTCTAGACAAATTTTTAATAAGTAACGTATGAACAATCAAAATTATAAGGAGCAATGTTCAAGAAAAAATTAAAAAGGAGCAAAATCACTAAACTATTTTGTCGTAGCCTACATTTGTGAAGAAACACCCAAAATATTTAACTATTTGTGCACAAATCACAAATTTGTCAAATATTTTGACGTATTCCGCTCACCTGGGAGGGGAAAGAGAGATAAGAAATAGAGAGTCTTGGGTAAAAGAGAGAGTGTTGGGTAAAAGAAAATTTAATTAATTTTAATATAAATATAATTTAAATATAAGTAAAGTTATAATATTATTTAAAATTTTAATTAATTTTAATGTATTAACATGATGACAATTATAAATTTTAATTAACTTTATTTTTATTGTTAAAGTTAATTAAAATTTAATAAAATTAAAGTTAATTAAAATTTAATAAAAATTAAAGTTAATTAAAATTTAATAAAATTAAAGTTAATTAAAATTTAATAAAATTAAAGTTAATTAAAATTTAATAAAATTAAAGTTAATTAAAATTTAATAAAATTAAAGTTAATTAAAATTTAATAAAATTAAAGTTAATTAAAATTTAATAAAATTAAAGTTAATTAAAATTTAATAAAATTAAAGTTAATTAAAATTTAATAAAATTAAAGTTAATTAAAATTTAATAAAATTAAAGTTAATTAAAATTTAATAAAAATTAAAGTTAATTAAAATTTATAAATATTCATCATGTTAATAAATTAAAATTAATAAAATTGTATACTAAAGTTACTTAAATTTTATAAATTATATTATAGCCTCACTTATATTTAAATTATATTTATTTTAAAATTAATTAAAATTTCTTTCACCCGCACTCTCTCCCTCTCCTCGAGTTCTTTCGCCTCTCGTTCCCCTAAAAAAAAATCAGTGCACTTGTTTGGAGAGAGAGATGGAAAGAGAGAGAGTATGTGTGCAAATTAAGCTCTAACTATTGTAAAAAGTCAATTTATAAAAAAATGATCTTGTTTTAAATTTAAATTAGTTTAAGGAACATACTTACGAAAAAATCTAAAAAGAACAAATACAGAACTTAATTATCCGATTTCAATAGAAACCAGAACTTAATAATACATTTTCTACTTTGATCAGAAACCGAATTTTACTTCTCCGGTTTCTATAAATTCTTAAATTTTTTATTCACTTCTCCGGTTTTTATAATTTTTTTTTTATTATTTTGTGATTTGAAAAGAAATTCCAATTTCTTAACAAACTTGATTTTTATATTCTGGTTTCTTAAGAAAATGAAATAATTATCTTTATTTATTGGCCTTTTCTGAATGACATGCACTTTAGCATATTTGATTAAAAATTAAGAATTAAAAATTAAGAATTAAAAATTAATGAATAAAATTTGGTTCTTTTTTGCTCCGTCAATACTTGTTTAACTTCCGATTAGTAAAATGTGATTTTAATCGGGCAAGGAAATCCAAACGAGAACCATCAAAGACTCATGAGCAACTATTTTAATGTATTATAACATTCAAGATAACACGATAAATAGAACTATTTTAATTTAGCTTCTTCATAAATAAAATTTCTGGCTCCATGATTATATGAATAAGTAATTAAATTTAATTGTTAAATATATAATAAAAAAAATATATATTTTGTGTGCAATATGCATATCCCCATTTATTTTAAAGAAATAATTTTTATAAATTGAAATAATCACGCCAACATTTTCTTCCGATATATTTTTTAGGCTACGCGCCTATACGCCACACACGTGCCGCACCTTGGCCACGACGTTGCCTCTCCTATGCCACGCACCTGCCGCGCCGCGTCATTTCGCTACGCGCTGCTTGTTAATCAGGAGCATCGTATACGGGATGCCACGTCCAATGGGTTAAAGTGGCATCTCATAAAATAAGCCAAATTGCGTCCCGCTCCGCCACTGTAGAACCTCCTGGCTCACTATTCCATTAGTAAATGAAGACAAAAAAGGACAAATGGGGATGAGGAAAAAAATAAGAGAAATTTACATATATATTACTTTATGACATCTCATTTATATATCTAACATCTAAAATTTTAATATTACATGCTTACCACCCTATATTATTTTAATATCAAATATATCACTTATATTTCTTTCCTAACACTCATATATTTCATTTATATTACTCATTTTTAATATGAAAATAAACTATAGATGGTATGTATGTAATATTAAAGTTTTAAGTGTTGAATTATTTAAATAGAGTAGTCTAAGATGATGTGTATGTAAATCTTCCAAAAAATAAATAAAATGAGAATAGATAGAGATGACAGAAAATTTTGAAAAATAATATTTATAAATTTTTTATTTTTATTTTTATCTCTCTTGAATAGTACATCAAAATCAGAGATCTTAAAAATTCAAATTTAAAATTAAGTCATACTAATTTTAAATATGACACTCTAATAAATATCATCTCAAATAAAAATATATTATTATATATTATATGCTAACAAATTTATGATGATAAAAATAATTTAATATTTTATGGTTATATGAAGATTTCGTACATGCATAAATAAGTTGGACAGGTGAATATCAGAAAATTTTTATATAAAAATTAGAGAAAATTGGAGAAATCATATGGCTTTGCCCAACTTAAATTATCTCACTAGTACATGTCAAGGGTTATAGGACATTAATTATTAAAATTGAATAAAAAGATAATAGATTGAATTATGAGAGAGATCTCTTTGGCAGTTGTGAGAGGAGTTTTGAGATGTTCGAATTATGAGTGTTGAACAATTGATAATATGTATCATAAGACAAGAAATGCAGGTGGATAGTTTGATTATTATCTTAATAGAAAGGGAAATTAGATGTCTAAGAGGTTGGGTGTTCGCGAAGACGAGCATTAGATGTCAATGGCAGTAGATATCAAACACCAATTGATTGTTAACAATGGTTGGTGTGCAACATGGAGCATCTATAATGTTCTATACCTAGTGTTGGATAACGGTCCATATTAGTTAAAGATCAACAGTGGTTGATGGTAGATGTCAATGTTAGTTGATGGATGACATCAATTGAAGACTAGTTTTGGAAAATGTTGGGTGTTGATTTTGATCAATAAATAGTGTGAGCTTCATCTTTCTCATAATAGAAGAGGAGATAAATCATTTAAAAAGATGGCCAAAGACATTAAATAGTAATCATTGATATTACTCAAACAATAAACGATGAAGAATATTAAAATTTTGATAGTGATAAGCGATCAATTTATTCATTTTCATGATATGAGGGCATATTGAGTGATTAAGAAAATATGTGGTGAAAATCAGTGGTTAGAGAACATGAGTTATTTGTAGGTAGCATGCTATGATCATCGTGAAACATTGAAAGTCTGTTGACATTAGTGGCCACTTAGTAATTCTAAGAGGGGAGATCATGTAGCCAGAAAAACAAGTATCAGGGCCAATTGTTGATGACATTAGACATTGGTTATTATCCACGTGGAACATCAAAAACCATATATTGGTGGGAATGGCATGATTGTTATATTCATAGGATGGGAGGCTACATAGCTAGAAATATGAGTGTTGGACAATAGTGGCTGACCAACATCAAGCATTAATTGATATTAAGTATTGGACAAAGTCAAAAGGGAACATCTGAGTTAGGTAAAAGTTGATATCCAACTTGATCATTCTACTAATAAAGCAGAAGATTGGATGATTGTAAGATGGACAATAATTGTTAGTCATTATCTATTGACTGATATAAAACATTTAGAGGAGGGAGATAGAGGGAAGTCAATTTGGTTATTCTTTTAACATGTGATGAGATGACAATTAAAAAGATAGGTATTAAATGTTGATAGTTGGAAGACATCAAATATAAGTTATTGGAAAGCATTAGAAGATGATAAATAGGGAATATTAGAAGGTGAGTGATTGTGGATGGTTAATTTGACCATTTCTTGATACGAGAAGCTACTTCCCCTAGAACCCAAACATAGGTTGCACTGTATAATTTTATTAAGACTTATTATAAGTTTAATTGACTCAATAATATAGGGGTGATTCAAAAAGATTTGCAAGCTGAGGAAGAGTTCTTTAGAGAAACCTAAATATTATTTAAAGGAATCAAATATAGAAGCATTACTATTGAATAAAGTTAAACTAAGATAAACTTATAATTAAAGAGTTTCAAGATGATGCTTCATAAATATAAATAGAGTGTTGATAGGTTAAAATGCA